GAAATAGTAGAGCAGTTCTTCTGTAGCAGAGAAGCCAGACCACAACAGGGCTTGAGACCATGGCTGCCTGTTTGAAATCCCTGGGTGTATCTTGTAGGAGGCAGTGGTAGTCTGAAGTCAATCAGAAGGCAGGGTAAATCATCTGTAGGTATTTGAGTTGCTCTAATAAAAGGTATCAGATTTACCCGAACAACCTTGTCCTTAGACCAACATGGCTACGACCTACACCCCTGTAGGTATTTGCACACTTAACAGCAGCAACCCGCCGTACCCTTAATAGGATCTTGTGGCACCCCAGGGTGCTATAACACCCCGGTTGAGAATCACTGCCCTAGGCAATCAACAGGCAGCAGTTAGCCTCTGGATAACACAAATAGGTCCTCCATGGGAGCAGGCTCCCTGCTGCCCTCTCTGTTTCCCTAGCGAACGCCCAGGACCGGCTCCCAAGGCTACTCCTGGACACCAGGGCAACCATCGAGGGTGTTTTGGTCCTCGCCTACGGATTCAGAGCCTCCCCATGCCGACAGCACAGCATCACCCCCACCAGATTCTGGGAAGAGAAAAGGAGATTCCAACTATCTTCCTGCCAGACTTGGTGGGTTGGACCCCAGAAAAAAAAAAAAAAATCAATCCTTAGCGCACGATCACGTATGGCAGCATCCTTATTGCAAGGGCAGTGTAGGCAATGCTCGCTGAACGAAAAAAAAAGCGGTCCTTGGGAAAGAACAGCACGTGAGCAAATAAGCAGGGACTGTAGGGTAATGAGAATGTGCAGGCGGGCAGAGTTAAGGTTACACGTACCGTCTCAAATTCACCTGGCCTGAATGCAATGTGAACATCTTATAGCCTGATCCCAAGTCCTGACACCAGGGGAACCTTTCTATTTACACCCCTAGGGTTAGGCTTTGTCCTTAACCCTCTAGGTCAATGGTTCCCAATCTGTGGTACACATCCCACCAGTGGTACCCACAGAACCTGTCAGTGGCACGCATTAACAGATCGATTATAATGACTTTATATGGCAGTATATGTGCTGGTGGCACTTACGGTTGAACTGAAAAAATGTGCTGGTGGCATTTAAGGTTGTATTGTTTTAAATAGGTGGTGCACAATCTGCCAAGTTTGGGAACCGCTGGGCTAGGGGATTGACTGTAGTTTCCTTAAGAGGACTTTAATCAACGTTCAAAGTGAATCGGGGGGGGGGGGGGCGAGGGTCCCCAGGACTCACAAGGGACACGATGTTTCTGTGACACTAGCTGCAGCCGGCCTTGGGCCAGCTAACGTAATGGGAGACACAGCTCCTCTAACAACAAGCACTTGAGCCTGGTAGGGGGGGATTATCACGGGAAGGGGAAGGCACCTCCTGGACTATCGGTCCAGGCCCTGGCTATCGGGTGACCGCATCCTCCCATCCCTCTCATACACCGATTAAAGCCCACTTTAAAACCAGTTTGGTTTGGGGATATTTTTCATCCCCATTCCTCTTTGTGGAAAGCTGCTCCAGAAGCTCCCTTTGATGCTTAGAAACTTCCTCCTACTTTCCAGCCTAACTGTATCTATGCCTGTATTTACACCCCTGAGTTTCTGTGCCAACACTGCCCTTCAGCTTCAACAGCTCCCCTCCCTCCCTAGTGCTCAGCCCGATGTATTTATTGAATGCAATCGGATCCCTTCGCTCGACCAACTCGTCTAGCCCCTCTTGCAGAAGAGACTCCATCCCCCTGATCATCTTAGCAGCCCTTCTCTGCAACCGGCACAGTTTGCATTCATCCTTCTTGAATCTGGGTGAGTAAAGTGAACTGATACTGCCCTCTTCCCTTAAAACGCTTCCTACCCACCTGACAGCTCCGCTAATCCCGATGGTCTCCAGTTTAACAATCATTTCCCATGCATGACAGCATCAAATGCTTTGCTGAAGTCCTGAGAGAGGAGGTCTGCATCCCCTTTGTCTGGAAAAAGCAATTCTCTTAGTCTGGCATGACCCACCTCGCAGCATTTTTGCCTCATTTTCCTTGGACCTGCATGTCTTTAATGATCCTCCCAACGCCTTGCCCAAAAGCCTCACAGACTATTGAGGCCAGACTGCCGGGACTACCCATTTCCCAGCTCCTCAGACCCAGCCCGAAGCCATCCGGCGCCTCCTGTAAGGAGCTCAGTTGAAGCGGAGGATTGCAGGGTGGATCATGCAGTTCCTGCATCCCTGGGCCTGAGCAGCTGGCTTTGGTTGGGAGACAGAAAGCTTCATTTAGACTTACTTGTCTTGCAGAGGAGTATGGGCATGGGTGTAATATATTGCACCTCAAGGGAAAGGCACCACGAGACTTTGGTTGTGGCCTTAGCCCTTCCTGCTCCGAGGGAGATAGTTCAGTGACCTGCAGATGTCGAAACCAGGCTGCTTTCCCCAGTACTGGGGCCCCACCGTGTCAAAGATCTGATGCGATTTGGCAGGCATAAGGGGGCTCCTCCAAAACCACTTCCCGCAGGGCCAGCAGCAGGGTCTCAGAAGGCCAGGGCTTCATTCCTTCCTCTGCCACAGACTCCCTGGGTGACCTTGGTCAAGCCTTTGAGGGAACCAAAGAGGGTCCACAGCTTCCCTGCGCCACAGGGCAGTTATGAGGATAAATATGAGTAAGGGGCTTCAAGAATAACTGGGGGGGCGGGGTAGATACATATATCTTAAATAGATCCAGAAAGTTGGAGTAACACGTGTCTAAGTATCAAGCCAGGCACAAGTTAAACCACGTGGGGCCCAGGGCAGCAGCTACCTGGCAAAGGGACACCAGAATAGAAAGGCAGGGGAAAGCACGCAGAGTGGGAGACGACAACACCAACTGCAAGGTCTGGCGTTGAGCTTTACTTCATGAACGTTTGCAGAAAGGGCCCATGATAGTAGCCAGGCAAGCAAGAACTGCCTTTGCAGTGGCACATCCCTGCACTCGCGATCGTGCTCACATTCATCCGCCCGGCTCGGCCACCCAAGAAACCAGAATAACACCCCTTGTTTCAATCAACGCCCGGCCTAGGCAGGAAAACTTCATTGCCTTCCCAGTCGAACACGCAATCACGCACATAAAGATGCGAACAGCGGGAGAACATACAGGACACATACATGCACGGTAGCGTCAGAGTGATGTTGTAGCCGTCACGGTCCAGCAGTTACTGCAGAGACAAGGGTTGTTGGTCGTAGCCGTGTTGGTCGAGGCAGACGAGGTTCTTTGGGTAGATGTGAGATCTTTTATTAGATGAACTAAATAGTTAGTTGGTCGAATACAAGATCTCACATCTACCCAGAGAACCTCGCCTGCAGAGACCAGGATTTCTTTGGGCGGCACCTTTAATTGGACCGATTGGGATAGAGGGAGACAAGCTTTCAAATACTTGTCTAGGTGTCCTGGAGAATGTCTTGCATTGGAAAGCTTGTCTCCCTCTATCCCAACACTGCAGTTGGTCCAATAAAAGATGCCAACCAAAGAAATCCTTACAAGTGCCTCAGATGCTGCTGCCTCTACAAGACGTACTTAGGACTGCTCAACTCTTGTGTCGTTGATCTGTACTGCTAACAGGCACTGGAGATCCTCCGTTAGCTCAGGGATGGCTATCTCCTCCTCTTCCAGGTGCTGGGAGGTGCCGAGGGGGTATCAGCAAGGGCTGAACTCAGGAGGGGTCACTGCAAAGCACAGATCTCTACCGCATGGACAACAGAGCAGGGCTTATCAGCTGTGAATAGCAGCAGGCAGCCTGGCTCTGGGAGATTAGCCACAGACCAGGACAGACACACGCTTGGCCACTGTGTTACGGGGAACAACCCACAGAGGAGCTGACGGGAGCCTGCTTGGGCTTTGCATCTGGTCAGGCCCCTACTTTGACCTTGCAGTGCTGGTCCCCGGCAGGCCCGAGGCCGAGAGGCTCTGGAGGCAGCAGGACTTCCAGCAGGTGATACCACCTGTGCCCAGGCCCCTGCAGCCTGAGCAGTGTGTTCCCCGGGCCAGCCGGCTTCTGCTGACTCCAGCACAAAGCAGCCGCACACGGGAGATTACCGTGCTAATGAGCGCCAAGCACATCCGGCAGCACGCTCGGGAACTAACCCGCAGCCGGTGGCAGAAAGCACAACCAGCAAACCTGCCAGCGGGAACACTTCCCGGCTACCGGATAAAATGTCTGCTCTGCCAGGGGGTCCCGCCAGCGTAACACGAATGCGCCGGCATCTGCTACGCATGCACAACCCACCAGTACACACACACCGGCATCTGCTACACATGTACAACCCACCACTACACACACAGCGGCACCTGCTACGCATGCACAACCTGCCAGTACACACACACCGGCATCTCCTACGTGTGCACAACCCACCAGTACACACACACTGGCATCTGCTCCACATGCACAACCCACCAGTACACACACACTGGCATCTGCTCCACATGCACAACCCACCAGTACACACACACTGGCATCTGTTCCACATGCACAATGTGGCAGTACACACACACCAGCATCTGCTACACATGCACAACCCACCACTACACACACACTGGCATCTGCTACGCATGCACAACCTACCAGCACACACACACCAGCATCTGCTACGCATGCACATCTCGCCACTACACACACACCAGCATCTGCTACACACATGCACACAGTTGCATCCAGTGTTCAAGTGGTCACCCAGAAGGCAAAGCATCCACAGGAAAGGCTGCAGCACTGACCCCTTTCCCGCCCCTCCATCTTTAGCACTCTGGATGCAGCAAGAAGAGCAGCCGGGGAGTTTATTAGGATTTTTCCCTGCTTTCTCCCCTGTTTTCCATCTCTCATGCTTGGGTAATCCCCCCTGCGTGTTCCCCCCCAGCTTCCTGCCAAGGTTTCATAATGCTGGGGTGAGAGTCTTCCGCCTCATCAATCAGGTGTCGGGACATCAACCTGAGACATCAAACATTTGAGCCCCAGGCAGCAGATACCTGCAGGACATCAGAGGGGGAAGGCAGGTCTATTATAACCCGCTGTCATCTGTACGCGGCCAGATCGCCCGGTTGCGAGTGACTTCAGAGAGCGCCTGCACCAGAGCAGATCAGGAGTTTCCTGATGAAATGTTTCCCTCCTGGATTATGCCGGTTGCTCAGGAAGATTTCACCGGTCCGGAGGTGATTTCAGGGGCAGATCAAGCCCACTGCAAAACAGCAGAGAGCCCAGCAGGCAAGATGCTCCACGGGGACCCTGCTTTGAAAGACTATTTCGAAGCCCAAGCAAGTGCCGAGCACTGACTGGCCTGTTTTGGGGTGGGGCGTCTCGCTGCAGCTTTTCTGCAAGGAGTTTCACAAGGGTTTGGTGTTGTCCCAAAACCTCACATTCTTCTCAGCACAGATCCCAGCTTCCTGGCCAGCCCCAGTCTCCGCAAGGCCTCCTTGCCAGGGTTTTCCTCCCACCCAGCTCTGCCAGTGGGCACTGTAACCCGTGGAGCCAGAGGCGCCGAGACTCGGCAGCTCCCCTCAGCTTCAGGTGGACTTGTGGGGGGGCTCGGCATCTCCGAGCATCCCGGTGCTGGCTACCGTTCATCACCGCAGGCAGCCGCAGGGGGACCCACTGCTGTCTCGAGACAGGGCAATGCTCAGGGTTGAGGATGTCCCTAGACGGGGACCTGCATTAGGTTTTCCCCCCTCGAAATATCCTACCACTGCTACCACAGGGAACAGACGCCCAGAGGCCCCGATTCAGCAACGCAGTTGAGTACGTGCCTAACTTGCAAGACGCCCACCCCCAGGGGAGACACCCGTGTGCTTTAGGAGCTGGACACGCACTTCATGGGCTGCACAGATTGGGAGGCTGGACGGGCACCCAGTCCCCTTTATGCCCACTCCCTCTGCAGAAGGCTGCTGCCCCCCGGTGCCCTGCTCGGCCCCTAGCCCGATGCTTCCACTTCGCATCCAAAGGGAGCAGATTTCAGAGCATGCAGACCCTCCGCTGCGGCTCAGGCAGGATCTACGCCAGCCCAGCCAAACGTTTGCCTAGCTCGCCCTTGAAAACGGCCAGGGATGGAGACTCCACGGCCTTCCTAGCCACTCCCCTGTGGCTGGACAGGGCTTCCCGATCCCCAGCCTAAGCCTCTCCCCTTGCGCTCTCAGCCCACCACTTCCAAACCTGGCCCCTGTGGACAAAGAGAAGGATGGACTGGCCTCCTCCAGAGCAGACCCTGGGGTGCGGCTGCTGGATCCCTCTGGCCCGCTGCGGGCGGTCGGTGCAGGAGACACCCCCAGAGGCCACAGCAACGGGCACACGTGAAACCCCCACACAGGCAAGGACAGGGACACTTGCACGTCAGCCACCCACCCAAAGGAGCTGGCAGTTCTTCAGAGGGAAGGGGAAGCAGCACTAGGGGGGCACTTGCTTCTGCTTCCCCGGGAGCCCCAGCGCACGGAGAACTTGCAGAGCAGCAGAGACCCCAGCACTGACACCCGACTGCCAGGCAGGAGGGGCCCTCCGCAGGCACCTGCCTCCTCTGGCACTGGAGCACTGCTCCCCCCACACCACAACCAGCCTCCAGAGAGGCAGCCACAGCCCCCGGCCCGCTGGCCTGGCAGTGGGTGACCCTGGAAGCCGGGGCAACACCAGCTTCAGCAACAAACTCTCTACTGCCCTGCATCCCCCGCAGCGCCCACTGCCTGCACGCCTGTAATGCACACACGTGTGCCTGTTCACACACATCTGTGCCAGCAAATATAAATACGTACGGATATGCAAACACACATATATGTACACACACGCATGTATGCACACACACATACATACACATGCATGCACACATATGCACGCATGCACATCCCTATGCACATGCACACATCTGCGCACACATCCATGCACGCGTGCACACGTATGCACATACATGTGCGTGCGCACGGATACATGCATATCCATGTGCACACACGTGCATGCACACGCACATACATACGCACATGCACACATATGCACGCACACGTGTATGCACACACATTTATGCACGCATGCACACACAAGCACACATCTGCACGCGCGCGCACAAACGAAAGCCCATCCCCAGGCACACGCGAGGGCAGGACGACAGGGGTTCAGATGCGAACACACCCGCACCTGCGCACGGACACGCGCGCGCGCACCCCCGTGCACAGTGCAACGCCCCGGCCCGCGCGAGCGCACGACGGTGTAAACCCGGCTGCAAGCACACGTGTGCGTGTGTGTGCGCGTG